AAATATTTTCCAAAAGTGTACAATAGTGTACAGTCTGAAATTAGTGTACAGAAGTCTCAAATAGTGTACTGTACACTTCAAAAGTGTACGGTTGGTCACACTACTGTCCATACCATCTCATCATTAGTTATTATAATTAATTAATTAAAATTTATTTATTGTTAATAATTAACGGACATTTTTAAAAAATCAATGTTATTAAAAATTATAAACAATTTTAATAATTAAAACATTTAATTATATAAATCTAAAACTTATATCAATTATAAAATACAAAGTATTCTAATTTATTTTATGGAAAATATTTAAGAGTTTTTGAATTAAAGCATTTGATTCATAGATTGAATAAACAAATAATAAATACAATTAATTTCTGCTTAAAATTAAAAATTAAATCATAAATAATAATAAATTTAAAGAATTGTTATTTTGTTTTGCGAAACAAAATTTCATAAAAAACTGAATTTTCATTATTTTTCAGTTTATTTAACACTTCATTAAACTCCTTGTGATGAGTGATAACAGTCCTATCAGTGGACCACTCGTTATGTTTGGCCAACACTTCCCTACATTCGGGTCTTTTCCTCCATTTCGGTGTTTTCATCATTTTCTCGAGTGTTTGACACAAACATAGTATACATGTCTTAAACAGTGAGTCCTTTGCTTCAAATGATTGCGAGCTATAAATCCATAGAAAATACAAAATATAATAATTTCAATATTTATTTAAATAGTGATAAAAATGAATGTTTATTACGCCTGAAGATCGATAGCAAACATCTGTTCACCGATTATAGAGAGACTATAAATGTCTGATTTGTGGTTATATTCGCGACAATGAATCACTTCGGGAGCCATATATGCAATACTACCCACACCTGACGTATGGCCGTATCGGCTGGCAGTGTGTCTATCGGTGTTGTGATCAGTGGCTAAACCAAAGTCACACAGTTTTACACAACGATTGCACTTAAAGTTGGGATTAATTAAAATGTTGTCGGGTTTGAGATCCCGATGAATGACTCGTGGATTTGATTCATGAAGATATTCAACGCATTCTAAGAGTTGTTTAAATATTTCACATGAAATGAAAAACTCAAAGACATTCATCTCTTCTTCCGGTTGTCTCTCGAAGACAATGGGTTTGTCTTTGAGAACAGATTTGAGATTTTGTGAACAGAACTCCATTTGAATGAAGAGATGATTGGACTCAAGCCATGAGTTGTAATACTTGACTACAAAATTTGAGTCCAGTTTTGCCAAACTTTTCACTTCTTTTAATACTTTTTGTTTCTTTTCTTCACTAAAATCTGTGAAAATATTTAATGAAATAATTTCAAAACAAATATTCATTGAATTTACCCCCAAATTGTACTCTTTTAACGGCATATATCTTATCATCCAATCTATGCCTTACTTTAAATACAGTCCCAAAACCACCCAAACCTATGGCTGACATCTCAATGAATTGGGTTTTATAGTTACCATCACTGAAAGTAACATGGTAGTCTGCATTATCGGCATTAATTATAGTGTGATTCGTGTGTTTGTGTTGTGTTACAGTCGAGAGTGTCTGTGGTTTGTCTATTTGTAACATAAATACAATATTTATAAACTTATTATAATTTGAATATAAATTGTTTTCAGAGCTTTTATACCTTTGCCATGACTGCCCATCGCTATATTAACTAAACTACTATGGTTGGAATTGCTATTGTGCATTAAAATGGGTGTTGATTGTAGTTCTCTTTGTTTTAGATTTAGATTTAATTGTGTAAAACGTGTCTGTCGTTTGTCTTCACAACAAAATAACAAATTAATCATTAATTTTATATTATGTTTAAAAATGCAATCAAATTACCAGTTGTTTGCTCTGAACTTGTTTTGCGATTTCCACTAAATATCTTTAAAATTTTTGCAAAAATTGTTTCATTTTTTCCATCATATGAATCATCATAAATATTAGTATTAATTGTATTGTCTATTTTGTCTGTTATATATTTATCATCTGTGAAATGAATTTTAATATTATATAATGTAAATACAGTGCAACTTCCCTTGGGTTAACTTCTCTTGGATGAACACCTCCTCATAATGAACGGTTTTGAAATTTATGTTGGATTTCCTATACTAATAATGTAAAAATAACCTCCCTTAGGTAAACTTCTCCATAATGAATACCTCCCCATTATGAACGAATTTATAGAGATTAAGATAAAACTTCCACTCCCAATAATGAACAAATATAATAATAAGTACATGATTCCTAAAAATATTTAAAATAGTTTCTAATCTAAGACTTTAAGCAAACAAAATCACATTTTTATATCAAGTTTCATTCAATATTGTAAGAAATGTGTATTCATTCTTTGATTAGTGAACTTTAAATTCTTACTTTGTATCTAGAGACGCATCCGATGCTCAAATATTTGAACAATTGGACAAAATTAAAACTAATGCATTTAATTGTCACTTAAAAGTCACTTAAAGCTAAACAAACTAAAATTACTGATTATTTTCAATAATTGCTATTATTTATAAATATTCATTAAAATTAAGACATTTTTACTCGAACCTCCCTTGGATGAACCCTCCCTATAATTAATGTTAGTTATTTCCCATTTTTAAAAAGTATATTCCAGGAAAATAGTTTTGCGCCGGAAAATTCTTTATATTCCTTAAAATTGGGAAAATAAGACAAAAATGTGGTCAAACAGTGACCAATCGATGAATATACTTACTTTTATCATGTTTATTACATGTACCCTAACATGCTTAAACATACTGGAGAAATAGATTTAATTAGATCTAAACAATTAATTTAATTTAAATCATTTTGTAATTATTTTTCAATCAATACTTAAAAATTGCGCTCAAATAATGACGTAATGCTATATAAGGGCCAAGAAATTTTTTGTTATCCATTGAAAATTTTATAAAAGTAATTGACTACTGTGTTTAATAAGATTATTTTTAAAAATTTTTATTATTTTTGAAACAATGTATCCATAATTAGTACTAAAATAATCAAAATTTTTAAAAATATTTGCCCTCCTGTTAGTTATTTCCCTGATTCACTTTTTATTTTCCGTAGTTTCCCTCTATTTTCCGTCTCGGCAACATGGGAATTAATGGAATATAAAATTTTTGATGAACATTACCTATAATATAGATTAAAATTTATTATAGAAATATTACAGTAATTCAATTGAACAACTATTTTATCATCATTCAAATTAAATAAAATTCTAACCAATGTTTACATAAAACATTTAAACTATTCAAACATTTATAAAAACTTTATTTACAAAGAGGATTTTAAATATAAAATTAGATCTACCGTTTGTGCTAATATAATATGACCTAGATGCACTTTTTAACTGTAATAATTCAAGAATTTATCGTTAAATGATCAATTCTCTAAGAGTTGTAACCAAATTTATAATTTCCATATACTGTTTGGCATAAAGTTGTGGTGATTGGCCACACATCGTGTGAAACACCTTTTATCAATCATATTGACTGAAATAAAACTATAAAATTAGAGACAACTGCTATAATAAGTGACCATTGATTGAGTTGATCACAAAATACACGTATGGCTAATGCATACGAGTGGTAGAGTGACCACAAGTGACCACACATTCGGTCATTTGTGGTCTCCTTTAAGTAATTTACAATTAAATTGAATAACAATTGCATTTCAAATGTCGCGCAAAACACATGTTTTCATAACAAACGCATTGCAAACCCAATGCATAACAACTGCTGTATTATTATTGCCACACATTTTGACACTTCACTCAAGACATCGCGTATTATCGCTATTATCTGATCCGCAAAACACGTGACCGCAAACAATGGCGGCGAAGGGCGACGCATACGCCAGGGATTCGTTGGACCGGTTCGGCGACGACTTGTATCAGATACTCGTGAGTCACATGTCTTTCTACGACCGGTTCCGCACCGAAGAGGTGTCGAGACAGTGGCGCCGATTGGTCTTCTCGGGTGAACGCCATCTGCTTATTGATCGCCAATTAGTGGCCAAATGGACGAAACGCAGCTTTTTTGGCAAGAAGTACACCGATTGGGATGTGTTGACCGATATACTGAAGAAGTGCCGCAATATCACAGCCGTGACCGTCGATCGCAACGATCTTCAGTACCAGAACGTGATCTACAAGATAATGGATGTGTTGGCGGCGATGGCGCCCGACATAACCGCATACGAAGTGCACTCGAGTCACGGCGAGTCTCACACCGATCTGTACGGCCTCTTCGACCGGATCGTGGCCTTCAAGAGTCTGCGCCATCTGTGCGTCGACTGTCCGCACGTTTACGGCGACTCAAACCCATGCGCTAACGTCATGAACAAAGTGGCCGCCAATTGTCCGCGCATTCGGTCTCTGGAGCTGAACGTGAATTGCTTTGTGGCCCCGAATCTCATCAACATATTGAAAGCGATGCAATGGTTCCCAGCGTTAGAGCGCCTAAACCTCGGCCTCTATAGCATTAACTTCGAAGAGCCGCAGAGATATTCCGTCAAACCGTTGCTCGAATGCCGTCGCCTTCGGTACGTATCGCTCGACTGCGACCGCGATATGGAGTTCACGGATGTGGACAAACTGCGCGCCCGACCCCTCATCCAGAAGGTGACCACCACTAAGAACCACATGTGACACCGCATGACCGCATTCCCGGGGCTCCACTCACTCAACCGCTTTCTTATGGAGTATGACTGAAGAATTGTCTGTTTTGAATGTCTAGTCTAATGGATCACCAAAACTGATCCTTAAATAAATAATTCCAAAAATAAGAGAAATATTTTTCAATAATTGGCTGAATATTCATAAATATCACCCATTTTTGTGATTAAGAAATCAATTTTCTCTTTATTTCTTACTTTTAATTACTATAACAATCGTTAATATTATAATTACTATTGTATTTAAACCTTATATTTTCAATACACTTATGATAATTGTATGTAAAACACAATTACTGTACGTTAATATCAAATTATCGTTTGGGTTATAACTTTCCACATATTATTCATGTGTTAATTCAATAAATATATATTTGCATTAAAATAACGCATAAATTAAAACTCAATTAAAAGTGCAAAAAAGTGACAAAAGGGGCCATAAATTGCGCCCAATATGTAACGCTCACAATAAACGACACGTTATATACGAACAGCGCATACGATATGTAAATAAAGGGCACTTTAAATGCCAGTCAATCGCAGCACTAATTAATCAATTAGTGAACCACTCGTTAGAGTTAACCACCGATTGTAGTCTTCAACACATTTGGGACACACTTTAGACCACAATTGGCCGATAGGAGTGTCCGAAGAGCACCACTTCCAGAGCACACCGAATACAAAACCAAACAAAAGACAAGTGAAAGAGACCGATGATTGGCCGCCACTACAGGGGATCCAGTGGTCACTAACTCTTGTACTCCAAGCCCTCCATCACCGCCACAATCGTTGATAATGCGGACCAATTAGATGGCGACACAAGTGTCCATCCATTCGTGTCCATCGCCGACAGTGGCGGCCGATATCGTATCGCCGGTCAATCACTTGCCGCACAATTGTCTCATCGATCAGGACTTCGGAGGACAGCATTTAATAGTGGACAACAACGTCGGCAGAGGTGACGCTCACCATCAGCAGCACCTCCAACAACAACAGCATCTGCAGCCACAACAACACCAGCAGCCGATGCCAGTGCTGTTGCGGACATCGATCGCCCGCTCCATCTACGAGCGAATGCAACGCGAAGAACAGCTCCGCTTCTTCGACAAGACTAAGTGGTACTCAATCGACAGGCATTTGGTCACCGATGAGCTGCACCGCACGTTCCGGCCGTCGGATTATGACTGCGAGACCCGTGAGTTCGTCGACTTGTGTTACCAGAAGAGCGACCAATACTTTACGCATCTGTTCCACTCGATCGCCCGCACAATACTCTGTCTCTTCATGTCCTCCACTTCGGTGAACGGACTGCTCGGTCGCGGATCGATGTTTGTGTTCAGCGATCAACAGTTCCGCACTCTTCTCAACGACGACGCGATGTCGTCGGCCGTAGAGGCAGTCGATTCCGGTCAACGCAATGGCGACTACTGTTCGCCGATAGACCTGAGCGGCGCTCCGATGGACACTTCTAGCGATCACCGGATTCTTATCGATTTGGGCGCCGGAGACGGAAAGATCACCGAAATTATGTCGAAATACTTCCACAAGACGTATACCACAGAGATATCGTCAGTGATGCGCAAGATATTGCTGAAGAAGGGTTACCACGTGTTGGATGTGGAGGATTGGCACGAAAACGGGCGCCAATACGACGTGATCTCGTGTCTCAACGTATTGGACAGATGTGACAGACCGTTGTCGATGTTGGCCGACATGAAGTCGGCGCTGAGGCCCCGCACCGGACGTATTGTGTTGGCGCTGGTGTTGCCGTTCAGCCAATACGTTGAGGTGAGCGCTACCGACAATCACCGCACAGACCACCGGCCGTCGGAAGTGTTGGCCATCGAAGGCCACACATTCGAGGAGCAGTTGGTGTCGTTCGTGGATCGGGTACTTCGGCCGAACGGACTCCAAGTGGTGACGTGGACTAAAGTGCCCTACCTTTGCGAGGGAGACCTCGAGCTCACCTACTATTGGCTGTACGACGTGGTAATGGTGCTCAAGACTGCGGACCAGTAGATCCAGAGGCGGTGGCAGTGCCCACACCATTGGCTCTCATTTGATTACCTCTACTCCCGGTCCCCAACTATTAATCTAATGCTTAGTTAGGATTACATTATAATTGAATTTATTATTATTATTATAATTATTAGTGTTTTTTATGATTATTTAAAAACTATTTACACTTTTTTGTTGCCTTAAGTTTTGTTTCAATATTTTTGTCATCAAAAAATTGTTGATATATTTATTCATTATATTTAATGATAATATTATAAACAATATATAAGTTTATATTTCAATTGATAAGTAATTTATTATTTAATTTTATAATCAATTATTATTTTATAATATAATTTCCTGTTTTTTAATTATTATATAATTATTTCCTATAATTTAAGTGATAAATAATTGTCGCTTATATTCAATGATTATTTAAAATGTGGTTTTTCTGTTCACTCTATAAATAAATATACAAAACCTATAAAACAACTTATAATATAATTGTAAATCTAATTTAATTTATAAAAAGCGATAATAAATAAAGAAATAAATTATAAATTAATGATTAGTTTTGAATTACATTGAAAGCAATGTATGATAAAAACGATGCGAACATTGGATCCATTGATTGCATTGATTTGAAAGCAACAAAAAGTTTTAATGCATTCACTCTTTGTATGGCATTATTATTAGCGGCGATTTTATCATACATTCAGCACTTTTTTGCAGTCATTCAAACTCTCTATACATAAAACTATACGAATAAAGCACTCGTTATTTACACATCAAATGACAAGATTTAAACAAATAGTGATTATAATTAGTAAATATTGATGTTTATTACTCTATGTGAGAGTAGGGGCGCAAATATATTACACACGTTATACATGTATAGGAATATTTTGTCGAATGTGCTATGTACATCTACAGAATTTACTATAATTGAGCTAATTTGCATATATTCTATTAAGAATATTGTCGGGAAAATAAATTACCCACATATATTACATAATAATTTTATTAATATTTGTTTTTTACAGAAATATTCGAAAATTCAATTAATAAAAATACACTTTACATAATTATACACTCTTTTTATTTATATATTTTCGAATATAAGAATATTATAATTTAATTATAATCTTTTTTATACAAGAACATGAATATAATTTTTTATTTTTATTGAAATTTTAATTAAAATAAAACTTTTAGATACAAGAACATGAATATAATTTTAAAAATATAAATTAAAATCATTTAAATACAAGAACATTATACTTCCATTCGATTATTTATTAAATTAAAATCTTTAAAATACAAGAACACGATTCTAATTTATTTATTATATTTTTAAATTAAAATATTTTAAATACAAGAACATTATTATAAAATTAAAATCTTGTAAATACAAGAACAATTCCATTATAAAAAATA